CACACACACACACACACACACACACACACACACACACACACACACAGAGAGAGAGAGAGAGAGAGAGAGAGAGAGAGAGAGAGAGAGCAATGTAGAATCCAGCATATTGTTCTGTGTTTCCAGGTGTGGAGCTAAGTCCATCGATAAAAATCACCTGACCACACAAAGCATATTTCCCTCACTTTGCTGTATAATGTGCAAAATACAAATGTGAAAAAGAAAATATAGGTTTTAAAAAATCCATTTTAATTTTGTTCTTCCCCAAAACTCCATCTTTTAAGGTGTCACCTGATATTATTAGCATTGTAGACTGGAATCACCGATTCCCTCTCCTTTGGGACTCCATATCTGACTGAGGACAAGAAAGCGAATCCATCCACAGAATCTAAATGTCGCCCCCCCCCTCCGGGTTTCTGATAAAAGGCTTGTCTTCTTGACTTACCGGTGTCAGAGGTCAACAAAGGAGGCGGTGGCCGTTTCACCAACGTCCGCAGTTGCCCTGGAGCAGGTGGTGTGGCTTTCCCGATACGCAGCTCTATCTTCTTGGGCCCTTGATCTAAGATGTCAATCTCCACCGGGATACCCATCGCCGCGAACATCTCTCGAAACCGGCTAGCGGCTGTTTTGGCCTCGGACATCATTTCAAACTTGATATAGATGTACCTCTCGTCTTCCCGGTAGGTCTGGTGGTCTACCACCTCGATCTCTCCCTCGTCGGCGCTGACAAAAAGCTCCTCTTCTACATCCGAGATCTTGGTGGAGATTTTCGATTTGAACAGCTTGTGAAGCCGCCTCCCGGCTTTACGGAAGGCGTCGTCCAAGTCGCTCCCCGACGAACTCTCGCTTTCGCTGTCGGGAAGCTTTTTGGCGGGCTTGTGCTTGCGCGCGGGGGGTTGAGGCGGAGGGCCCACCATCACCCTGGCGCTGTGGGAGACCTTGCCAAATTTATTGGACGCCTCACAGGTGTACTTGCCCGCGTCATTAAGCTCCAGGCCGGTGATGATCAAAGAACAGGTCCCGTCACTGTAATTGTCTATGTGATAGTGGCGTCCGTCCGAAATCTCGTCTCCGTCTTTCAGCCAACGTACGGTCATGTCCGTCTTGCTTTGGGCCACGGCTTCGAGATGCAGGTTGCCTCCTGGAACGCCAGAGAAGTCCTTGAAGGTCTCCGTAAACACAGGGGCTTCTTGCTGCTTGATCTCCTTCCTCACTTTGTACCCTTTGAAGGCAGCCTGGATTTTGACCGCGGCCTGAGCCATGGAGGGGTCGTCCAGCTCTGCTGTTATCTGTGGCTCTCCTGGTTGGGCCGGAGGAGAAGGCTCCACGCTGGTCTTCTCCCACTGCGCGTAGATTTTCTCCGTCGAGAAGGTCTGGACTTTGCCGCTAATTGTGGACGAGCCCGCCTTTTTGAGGTAGGAAATTAAGGAAGGAGTCCCAGCTCTGGACTCATCATCCGAACTGGTGAAAGAGAAATCTGCCTCTCCCGCTTTAGCCGATTCGTCGCAGGTGGAGTATTCCTCTGAGTAGTACTGGATGGTCTCTGCTTCCTCTTTCTTCCGTTTCTGGAGTTTATCGTCCTCTTCTGGAATTTCACTGATGGAATCCAGGGTGGGTTCCCGGCTCATTCTCCGCTTCTTGGCGAGGGCTTCCCACAGAAGGTGGAGGTCCCCCTCTTGAGCAGCTTCAGGGGGCAAGCTCGGCTGGGACGGCTCATCGCCCGCTTCCTCCACTTCTTTCGCCTTTGGGGCTTCTTCAACAGCCGCTTTTAACACGGGCACTGCGGAAACGGAGAGAAACGAAGAGGTCAAAGGTCACTATTCCATAAAGATGGATGACGCCATCTTCCAGACAGAAGATATATAAAGGAAACAATGCCTAGCAAATGGAGTACCCTGTTTCCCCGAAAATGACAGTGTCTTATATCTCAGTGGTCCCCAACCTTGGGCCTCCAGATGTTCTTGGACTTCAACTCCCAGAAATCCTGGCCAGCAGAGGTGATGGTGAAGGCTTCTGGGAGTTGTAGTTCAAGAACACCTGGAGGCCCAAAGTTGGAGACCTCTGTCTTATATGATTTTTTTGCTCCAAAAACCGCATTAGGGCTTATTTTCAGGGGGTGTCTTTTTTCATGTGCAACAACCTACATTTATTCAAATACAGTCGTGTCATCTTCTGGTGGCTGCACCAGGGTGGAGGACGGGCTTTCACTTAACTAGGGGTTATTTTTTGGGTAGGGCTTATATTATAAGCCTCTTGCAAAATCATACTAGGGTTTATTTTCAGGTCTTATTTTTAGGGGAAACAGGGTAGATGTGCTAAAACTCTGGTTTCACGGGCAATGCGCACTCATAACAGCAACAAGCCGTGAAGCAGTTTATTTGTTTAACTGCTGTCCGTACTTACGAATAAATAGGCAATCAAATAATCAAACATAGTGCCCTGGAGAATAGATGTTTCCTTCCCGATATTTTGCATTTTAAGCAGATTGGGTTTATTATCTGCATAAATGTTTGGCTCAATCAGTCAGTGTGGTTTTATTCCTTTAATACAAAGACCATGGTAAATCAGGCATGAAAAAAGAACATAGTACATAAGGCTATATTCTCACTTCATTGTTTGAGCTCCAGGAGATAAGCACTTCAGTGAGGGTGCATGTGTGCAGGATCCGGAAGAACAGGAAGTTGTGTGTGGACCCAGAACCTCTCTCTGGACCCTCCAACAGACCCATGGCAGATATTCTTGAAGACACCTCTCCATAAGCACAAGGACTAGAAGCCTGTGGGTTTGGGTCGGTTTGGATTTTGTTTTTCAAGTTCTCACCGGTTTAGATACTTCACTAAACATACATCCTTCTTAGTACATTTAAGCCTTTTGGATATGAAACATCCTTCGCCACATAATGGCAGGTTACCTGCCATTCTGGTACCTTCCCATTCACAAGGTGATCTCTGACTGAGCGGCTCTCTTATTTGGCTATTTTGCACATGTGTTGTTGTTTTTTTAAAGAGGAAAAGAAAAGAACGAAAAAGTACTTGTGCAGTCAAATCACTTCAATTCAGTTTTCTAACTCTATCTTTAATGTGTGAAGAGGACAAAGGCAGAGGGAAATGGCACAGAAATGCACATGTACCTTCAACGGACAGATTGGCGGATGTTTTGACATCAGGAGAAGCCATACAGGTGTAGGACCCTTGATCTTCGGCTTTCAACCCATGAATGATGAGTGCCTGTGTTTTGCCATCTGAGATAATTTCATATCTTCCTCCAGGATGCACGGGTTCTTTCCCCTTCAGCCAAACCACCTCTGAACCTCCGCCGGATAATTCACACTCTAAGCGAGCTTTCTCTCCTTCGGCAGCCGACTTGCTCACCAGAGGTCGGGTTATGGCAATGGGCTCTGGAATTGGATATACCAGAAAAAACATGGGATTGACTGCTTATCATGATATTATTATTTTTTGCACCTCGGTGCACAAAGCAACAGAGAAGCAGGCCAGCCAACTAAAAAAAACCTAAGAGCATATTTAACTAGGTTTGACTGATTGGGAATACAGGTTTGCCCCTGACGGGTTGGAAGTACAGCAAGCGGTATCAATAAAATAAAGCTGAGAGTGAATTATTGCATGAAAAACAACACCAAAGGCCTTGAAGGACCTAATTTAATCACGACATCAGCTTTTGTGTTCCTATTCTTCTTCACTTAGACCAAGAAATATCAAATATCTCAGAGTTTGGAGAGGCCATTAAGTTATACAAGGTGAATTCATTATTCACCCTTCATTCACTCTAACGAATTTCTTTCTTCACATCAACAATGGAACGTCAGCTGAAGGGATTTCTCAGAATGAAAGCTGACAGCTTAAAATCAGATCACGGAAACCTTTAGACGCACATTGAAAGATTTCATGGCAAACAGAATTCTTATGCCCTGTCCTCGTCACATCGCTGGTATTGGAACATTCTCCTCAGTATCCTTTACACAAGTTGTAAGATTCGCTGCTGTTGCAATCTGAGCCTCAACCCAAACCCACAACTGCAATTTAGAATTTTATAACCAACGGCGGGTGAATTTGTGCCTAGAAATGAAAAACTGCAGCAGTTTTGAACATTCAGATTGTATAATTCCCAGGCATTTCTTCTTTACGTGCTTTAAACTGTTCGCAGGTGGGTGGTAAATAAATGGCAATCCTTCATGCCTACGTCATTCATCTATGACCCTGCTAAGATTTATTCGAGTCAGCTCCTAAATAAAGCATTAAACTAAAGAGGCACTGCATTTTAAATGTCATTGTGGGGAAAAATGTATTGAAGCTATAATGGTAGACTGGTGGTTCCAAACCTTGGGCCTCCAGATGTTCTTGGACTACCTCTCCCAGAAATCCTGGCCAGCACAGCTGGTGGCGAGGGCTTCTGGGAATTATAGTTCAAGTACATCTGGGTTATCCAAGTCTGGGGACCACTGTGATAGACAGAGGTTTCAGGGGTATAAAATGCCAGCCCTAGAGAAAAGGTGCCTTTTAGAGATGGGCACGAATCGCTGTTGGGTTGGTCAACGAACCAAGCAAAGAAGGAGTAGCATCATCATATGGCAAGCACTGTCTCATCCCTCAATGATAAAATGAAAGGATGCTAAATCAGAGCTAGAATGATTAGGAGCCAGGCCTGACCCAAACCTACCTATTACAGACAACTTTGCTGAAACAATGGCGTCTCTTGCAGCAAACGTCACCTCCCCGGAATGATGTGGCTGAGCTTTCTTCAGTATCAGCTTGTAGCTATTCCCTTCTGCCTCGATGCCCCAGTGTTCATCCGGTTGGATATCCACGTCATTAATGTACCAGGCGACCTCATGGACGGGCACCGCTTCACTCAAAACACAACTGAGGATGGCCCGGTCGCCCGCAGTGACGGTGGTGTCGGTTAAGGGCTGCAAAAATTCCAGGCGCCATCCTGAAAGGATGGTGAGAGACACGATCAACACCTTTTGACAGCAAATGAGGAAAAGGCTAGCACTCGGGCAGAACTTCTGAACTGCAGATGGACTGGAAAGTTGAAGGATTCTGCGGATACCCCAGAGTCCCACACTGTTCAGAATTTAATTTATGGGGCACGGGCTATTAACACACACCAAAGATGAGTAACAGCTCAGCCTATCGACAGAGCACAAAAGGTTGAAAGACAGGACAAAGCCCTCTTCTGTGTTTTGAGGTCTCAACAACAGAAACTTATTCAACAGAACGTGGTTGCACGTTGATCCACTGGTCAAAGAGGTTGAATCCCAGTCCATGGAAAAACAGACCAGACCAATATGGTGGGTGATACACCAAGAGAATATCTAATGTATCCCAACAGCCCAACTCAACCTTTGCTTCTTCAACCTTGTGTCTTGAACATCTGGCTGGGCATTTTTGGGTAAAATCACCCAGCTGTTCCACTCAAGTCCTGGCATCACACCTGAGGTTCGTTTTCTCATCCGTGACCAAATCGTGGATGAAAGAGGTCTTACTGTAAACTAGGGATACACCGTGTGGTGTCGTGGATACAGATTAGGTCTCAGGAGGCCTGGGTTCAAATCCCCCACTCACTGTGGAACCAGTAAAGCCACTCTTTAAGTACCTCACTTATCTGCTGAGCCCTACTAGGGTTGTTAGAGGTCATCTCCAACTTGATGGTATGTAACAACAATTAGGAACTAAAGTGGCATTAATTAATAACACCAACAGACCCAAGGACACACCGACAGGGCAATCAGTCGCTGTCCAGTCAGAGGAAGAAATGGACTCTGATGGCTTATTCCTGCATCTCCTTGTGTGGCCTGCTGACCCATTGGCAATGCTCTGCCCTGCCAGGAACCACAGAATCGCCCCATTGCCTTCATCCTTCTTTCTCACAAGCTGAATCCCAAGATCTCATAAGTACCACCAGTAACCGGAAATAACTACTTCCTGCACCAGCATTCCACCTAGTTCAAAAGAGGACACACACACACGCCAGTGTGAAGAGCAGTGATACAAACTCATCTTCTGCAGTCCACGATCCAGGACTTTCAACATCCCCTGAATGGTGCAAGAAAACCCCCACGCGACACTACAATAGTTTTCACCCTGCAAAGGTAATATAACAAGGGGTGTCTTTTTGCACCCTACCACAACGCACCAGTCCCCTGGGGAGTCTCTGGATCCAGTAACTCTTGGAAAGAAGATGAAGGTTTACACACAACCACGATCTCTTACTAGTGTACTGTTATGGTACAAGATATATCAGGTGTTACCTTTTACAGTCAGGAAGGCAGACGTCACCACGTCACTCGCCTGGAAAGTCACCCTGCAGCTGTCCTGCGGAGTGAGATTCTTCAAGAGGAGGAGATGCCGGAGCCCGTTTTCAAAATAGACCATCTCGATGTTTTCGGAGGTCTTGGCCGGCTCGTCGTCGATCAGCCAGTTGTAATTGTAGCATTCCGGTTTGGAGAGGTAGCATTCAAAGAGAGCCTCCCCGCCTTCCATGGCATCGACGTTTTCCAGACCCTGGATGACAGTGTTCTTAGCTACAAAAAAAAAAAGTTTTTTAAAAAAAGAGAGTATGAGTCATTCTGTTTATAACGACCGAGCATTACAATCGCTCCGAAATATAAAATCTCACACGGATCAAAGCGATAACAAGACATCAGTGGCATAGGATCGTTTAGATTTCAGGGATGGGATTTTTATTTAAACCACCCGACAGTCCTGGTGGGTGTGAAAATTTGCAAAGACGTCCAAGATGATGTGCAGCGTTGTGTTGGATGATCACCAGGCCAATAATCTCATAAACTGAGGTTTAGCTTCGATGCTGCTATAAAACCAGGATAAAGAGATGAGACTTCAGGAGCAAGTCACACAACTGCCAGGCCCTGGCTGGGCCCCAATCCAGGTGATGGCCAACAGGGACACAAGACCTAGCACGCTTCTACAGCTTTCCACGAGTGAGTTGGGACAAACAAGGGTTGCCAAGGAGGTTGGATGTAGTGTGACTTGTCTCGCGAACAGCCATGAGAAAATACGTTCATTGTCAAAGTAAACATAACCCATTTCGTTGTCCGATATGAAACAAACTTGAATTTTTGTAATGACGTGTGCAGGCAGCCAATAAACATGTCACTCCTATAGGAATTTGTCCCTAGTGTAGAAATGTCCTAAGCTGGTTCTATGATGCACAAAAGCAAACAACGTGGCCCACATGAATTGGGACCTGATAGGTCGGGTGTGTGACATGAAGCAAGTGTCAATTCATTTCACAGCAGAGTCTTGATGCCCCACCCACCCCGGCTGCCATTATGGATGCTTCACTTTTACAGATTTTATGTAAAGACACTCTTTCCACAGGTTCAAGACCAAGCGAGCTGTTAAAAACCATATACTGATGAACTGTCAAATCAACAGCAGCATAAACAGCAATCATACAATAACAGTTGAGAGCCATCAATTAAGAAGCTGCTAGAGCAATATGATGCTGAATAACGGTTCTGAAAGCTTGCGTTCTGAACAAACAAGGGCTGACGTATATTTATTCTAAAGCATTTTAGGTGCTTTGTGTATGTTATCTCACATCTTTACAACAGCCCCTGTAAAGTAGGTCAGCATTAATAATAATGAATAATGATTATTGTTGAGGCCAATAATAATTGAAATATGCACTCCAGTCAATTCTGACTTATGGCGATGCTTTTCAAGGTTTTCCAGGTAGAGAGTACTCAGAGATGTATTACCACTCCCTTCCTCTAGGGGGCAGCCCTGGGATGACTGTGCAGCTTGCCCAAGGCCACCCAGGCTGGCTTTTCTCCCAAGAGTCAAAGTGGGGGATCGAACTCTCAGCCTCCGGCTCCACAGCCCTCAACCACTGATCTATCCAGCTCGGCCAGCATTTCTGTCCCCATAAGAGGCGGAAGCACAGAGAAAGAACTTGCTTAAGACAACTCTGAAGAGTTCATGGCCAACAAAAGACTTTCCCAACCCTCCAGCTTACGTTCTGATTCCAAGACATTACACCAGGGTTTTTTTTTAATAATTAAAAATCCTTTTATTGTGGTGTGTGTAATCGGAGAAAACCCGAAAAGAGGGAAGTGGAGGAAACAAAAAAAGTCATATTTGGAGCGTTCAACTGAGATTTGATCTCAGAGTTCTCAGAGATTTCCTCCCTGCAACCCACAAAACTCTGCTGGACCACTGCCCATTTCCAGAGGACGAGGGAAAGGATTAGCCAAGCCGTTCCTAAAGAACCATGCTCCCCATGCTCTCTGAGTTCTGGAACATTCGACCGCTCCTCAATTCTGCCATTAGCGGATGCAGAACGGAAACAGTGAAGGCCACAGGAAACCAAGCCATGCGCTGCCCAGGGTCAATGACCGTAGTGAACACAGTCCCTTTTTTCCATTTATGATGGTCTTCTTTCCATCGGGGAAGACCTCACCTTGAACATCAAGCATAGCCACCACTTTTGTGCCTCCAGCTTCACAAGTGTAGATTCCGGTGTCCCCCGGAAGAGCCGGCTTAATCTTCAGCTTGGCCACGTTCCAGTCTTGCTCCACGACAATCCGCTGTCCATCCGCCTGAAGCTCCTGGTCGTTCTTCCACCACGTGGCCTGCACGGGCCGAGAGTACTGGCAGATCAACTCAGCTGTGCCGTCTTCCTCGACGGTAACATCCCGCATGGGACTGACCACCTCAATGGTTGGATCTGTCAACCGACATGGCAGGAGGGACACGGATTAGTGGCAGCCCTTGGCGAGCGCTTGGGAGCATGTTTAAGTACAGAGCCTTCAATGCGCGCGAGATGAGATGCAAGAACAGAAGCATGACTTAGTTTGCAGAGTTTAGTGTGTGTTTCAATTGGCAGGAAGCTTAATGGAAGCAGGTGGATTAGCGATTAGACTGGAGAGCTGTTGTTTCCTACGTCAATGAGGTGTGATGGGCTCCTGTGTGGTTGACTGTCACCAGAGGCTAGATCAATATTCAGGGCCCAGAAGACCTAGCGGCTCTTCGCTGCACAAAGGCCCAAAATCTTATTCATCCAGGCGTGGCGCAGAGGTACACCAGCGCCATTGTGCCAGGAGTTATGCCTGGCACCAGGGGATTCCGCAATTCAATTGCGCAATCGGTTTCGGAAATTACCACTGCAGCTGTTGCGCAATACACCAGTAGAGGTGCTTTGTAGGCATCATTTCTGCATCTGGCACTATTGCAGCTACCGCAGGCGTAAGGTTGAGTCACGCCCATGTAGTTACACAAGGGGACTTTACCCCAAGCCATTTGTTCCGGACAGTGTGAGTTACAGTCAAGGTAAAGCATTATACAAGAATTATAACAATGCAATGAAACTCTCCAGGAAGGGGCAACAGCAACAATCCTCAAATTCCTAAGGGAGTGGGGGATGAGTGGGTCTCTCTCCATGTTGGAGGATGCCCCCATGCCTTTGGGAAGCTGTGTAGGGCACAATTTGTGTTAAAATTTAGGTGGGGAAACCCAAGATCCAAATCTAATGTAGACAGGTTGTGTCCTAGAAAGGAAAACTGGAAGAGCACAAGGAACGTGACACGTGGGCTTCTTTATATATTGAGCTCTCAAATGTCTGAATGATGAATTCAGAGTGCAGAATAATTTGAAAGTCTGGGTTGCTTTAGGTAAAGGTTCCCCTTGACCTTTAGTCCAGTTGTGTCCGACTCTAGGGCGTGGTGCTCATCCCCATCTCCAAGCCGTAGAGCCAGCGTTTGTCCAAAGACAGTTTCCATGGTCATGTGGCCAGCACGACTAGACACGGAACGCCGTGACTTTCCCACTTATACTAGACACGGAATGCCACGACCTTCCCACCGGGGTGGTACCTATTTAATGACTCGCATTTACATGCTTTCGAATGGCTAGGTTGGCGGGAGTTGGGATGAGCGACGGAGCTCACTCTGTTGCATGGATTCGATCTTATGACGGCTGGTCTTCTGACCTTGCAGCCCAGAGGCTTCTGCGGTTTAACCTGCAGCGCCACCACGTCCCTTCACGTCCCTTGGACTGCAACTCCCAGAAGCCTTCACCCCTTGCTGGGCTGGCCAGGATTTCTGGGAGTTGAAGCCCATGAACATCTGGGGAGCCAAGCTTGAGAACTACAGTTCCATCCCATACATGAACACTCCTGCCTAGCGTCAAGGGGAGGTGGGATGACTTCTGCTAACAGGACTGTGGGGTCTGCAATGTCATAGACTCCAGGAGCTGTGAAAGAATACTAGCCTTGGGATTTTAACAGGTTCCATCACCCTAACATAAGATTATTTATGCACCCACTGTTTGTGCTGATGAACCAGGAAGGAGAAAGGCACTACAAAACCTTATTTTCCTAGAAGGATCATTGGTGCAGGATTGTGCTCAACGTGGGGTGCATGTGTTAAAGCATGCCTTCCCATAGCTATTTGGCAGGACATTGTTAAGAGCCACCAGAAGCCAGAAGCGAGCGCGGCGTGATGGGTGGAGGGCAATGTAGGTGCTGCATTCAAAGCCGAAGTACCTTTGATTAATAACTTAGCAGAGGATATGAGGGGGCCCGCTCGGAAGGTCACAATTCCCGAATCATTGGGCCCCAGGTCCTTGAGTGTCAACGTATGAACGTTCCCATCTCGCACAGAGATCTCGTTCACGGGGCTGCTCTGAAGGGGCGATCCGTCCAGCCACCACTGCACATTCGAGACGCCGGCGCGCGAGAGCTCACAGGTAAAGGTGGCCGATTCGCCCGCAAAGACGTCCAGGTTCTTTAAACCGGAAACTATCTGCACTTCCTCTTCTGCACAACACAGCAAGAGAACCCGTAGCAGGGGAGAACAAAGGGGTCAGCTGGCACGCGGGCATCTTTCAGCAGAGAGAGACAGTATCCACCACTTAGACAACGGATGCCCAATAACAGCAATCATCTGAGCATTGCAGAACTGGAAGGGACCCTCTGGGTCATCCAGTCCAGCCCCGTGGGGGAATCAAAATCTCAGCGGTCAAGGAGGCCCCGTGGGGGAATCAAAATCTCAACCTCTGGATCCACAGCCAGAGACTTCAACTATCAAACATCTAAGCTTACACCAAAGAACATTTCACATCTACAAAAGAAGACAATCATCATCATATCACAACTACATTTTTTGTGAAGAATTGATTACAGATTGACACCTTTCTGCTACCATTACGCACCGTGCTGGCATGATGTAACTGTATTTCAGGACTGTGTGTCATCATCATCGCAACTCATGACCGCCCTCCAAAAACACCTTCTTTGGAACCTTCTTGGCTGAGGTGTGATCATATTAGCTGCAATTTAGCAATGTTTTAGATTTTGAGTTTTAAACCTTCAGTTTCTGAGGACTGGAGTTCACACAACCCCTGTTGGGTGTTATGAAGGAGACCGGCCATCACGGATTGGTCACAAACCAAGAACGAAACCAAGCCGTGGGTCATTTTGCAAACAAGAATGGGGACGATAAAAACAGGGCTGTCATTCTGATTCCACATGATCAGCTGAAGTCTTTTCCCATAAAGGAAAAAAGGCTGAATCAGTTCACCTAACTTGGAAACCAGTTAGGTGAACCAGGTCTTCTCTGGAGGCTTCCTGTGGCAGATAGGGCTTTAGAAGGAGAAGGTATATTCTCCCTTAATGTAAAGGATTATGAAACTGGAGCTGAGTGCCCAAGTGTACCCCTCTGTGATCAAGTGGAACAACAAGACTGATCAAGGGCTTAATGCACCTTCCCACGATGTCATCCAATCGGAGTTCGTTACTAGGCAAACAGTCCTGTTGTACCACATGACTTCTTTCTCATACACAGCAGATGTTATTTGGGTTACTATCAAAGAGTCACAACAATTCCCATCTATCTAATCACACAGAGTCCTTTCTCAGGCTCTCAGAATAACATTCTCTCAGCTCGCCTGGAAAACACTTGTCAGCATAGCAAAGATACTTTATACAAAGAAACAAGATGGAACCTCTCTGGCTTATTTCTTAATTACAAAACCCATATGCCTTTAAAAGATTTTAACTCAAAAACCCATCTCATCACAATCATGCTTTCTCAAAGTCAAGCTAGATGAGACTCAGAGATGCATAAATGGACTCAAAATGGAAAAGGTCCTGTGGGGGAGACCCTATCTTGGGAAGGTAGGTGCTTCCCCCTTGCTCTTTCCCTTCCAGGTGGCTTTACTCCCCAGATGGGGGAAAAGATACAAGGATTTCACACCTTCTTCTCCGAAAGGGGCTAGGAGTGGCCGTTAATTCTGATTGGAAATGGGGCAGGGATGAAAGGGGTTATGCCCTCACTTCCTACTCTTCTCTTCTCCATCAAAGGCTCCAATTGTCACGAGAGTTTCCCTACAAGTGTTGCGCCTCTTGCTGAGTTCGGCTCGTACAGAAGCACGGAAGCAGGTCGAGTAGTAAAAGGGCATCTGTGGCTACATATAGGCTGGGTTTAGGTTTTCTGGAAGCTTTGGAATCTTAGGATGGCAGAGGCTGGAAGGGACCCTCTGGGATCATCCGGTCCAGCCCTTCTCAAGGAGGCCCCAGTGGGGGAATCGAACTCCCCACCTTTGGCTCGGCAGGCAGAGACTCCTCCTAAGCTTTCCAGCAGTTCCTCTTTTGTCTGGCACCTCTGAGCACACCATGTTCTGTCACGTAGCCACGCGCACAGCTTTCATGGACCCTGGACGCTGTCATGGATTGATTTATGTGGATTAAATCTTGCTACCTTTCTCCACCAGGCTATGGTGGCAGTGGTGGGATCAGATCCACGTGCTGTTAGTATTTACATGGTGCCAGCAGTGCACCATGTAAATATGGCTGATAATTCACTTAGTGTGTACAATGCAAAAATGGATTAACTTCTACATCTACGTGAAAAGGCTTCCACAGAGCAATCACCGGAGATAGCGGTTCTGTATCCCTTCACACTGCCCCCCCCAAAGATGCCCGTCAATGCCAACACACGGATGGAAGTGAGAGTGGTAACAGCATGAGAAGCCAAAATGTTGTAACCACCCAGATGGGCCAGTCTCAAGGTTTTAAACAAAGCCATGAGGCACTTTTTAACTGGGAGTTTCTTCTGTGCCAGTCCACGTCTCGGTGTTAGGTTTCCATCAGAACCAGGAGTGCCTGCAAGGCCATGCCCCACGGGCATGTTTATCCCTCGGGACTACAAACCCCACCCATCATGGCATGCCGCACGCACCTTGGACGTAAACGGAGCCTGTGGTCAGCTCATCTCCTGTGCTACATGTGTAAGGCCCACAGTCCTCGGGTTCTAAGTCGTGAACGATCAGCTCGATGGCCGTGCCTCTCTGGTGCATCTCGTACTTGGCGCTGGGCTGAAGGACGAGGGCGCCTTTCCTCCACTCCACGGGAGCGTCCGGTCTGGAGATCTCGCAGCGCAGGACGGCCTTCTCCCCCACCTCCGCCTCCACGTTCTGCAATTCCTCTTTAAAGAGCACCGGCAAGACTACAAGGAAGAAAAGTTTTGAGACCTCGCCCATCAAAACACACGAAAGGACCGCGAGCAATTCACGGGAAGCTGCCATAAGGTAGCCCAAAATGTTGGCGGCTGCACCACGCTTCCCCCTCCCATCCCTTTGGAGAGAGAAGCCTATGAGACCGAGTAATGATGGCTGTTTGCTTAGAGCCCAGTCTATCCTACCACGGGTGCTTTGGATGAAGAGTTCTGGATGTGATAGTGAGGATTCCGGCACTTGGCCACCAACGACTGAGTTTAAGGTTCTTAACCAAAACAACGGGCGCCCAAACTTTCAGTCGTACAGAAAAGGAAAGGAAACGGCTGGCTTTTATCTGAGGAATCCCAGCTGTTCAGGAAATCAGCTTTCCTTCTGATACAAGTTCAATACATTGATCTGTTCGTTTGCTTGTCTAATGTATATACCGCCTAATTAGTGGAGACACATGGCTCTGAGCAGTGTATGGGGTAAAACACTAGCCACCCAAATCACCAGCCCTGCGCCACCCCCATGGGACATAATCAAGGCACAGAAATAACTAGCTGGAACACAGAGGAAATACAAAGGGCATCTCGATTTCAATTTTTAAATTACAGTACTGGCATTTGGGGATATGTTCATAATGGCTGTCTTGTCTAATTCTGTCTTGAGTAATTTCCTAAATCTCGAGGAGGAAGGAGCCTGGTATACCTCAATCGGCAGTGGATTCCATAGAGTGGGGGGCACCACCGAGAAAGCCTGATTCCGTATTATCTTTCTAGCCTCATTTGGGGTGGTCGCCTTCAAGATTATGGATTGGGAAGAGCGTGTGAAACGGGGAGTTGTTTTCTGGAAGAGATGTTCCAGGAACTACTGTACTGGGGTCCTAAGCTGTCTTTTCCAAAAAGTTGATATTCAATATAATGGAGGAACAGAAGGATACAGGGCAAGCTATTATGACATCACTGAAAGGAAAAGGTGCTCTAATATAATGTACAAGAGGACCCCCAGGGGCACTGGTTCTAAGCCCCCCAGTGGATGCTGAAAACTGTGGATAATAGTAAACGCTATACAGAACGTGGTAAAAGAAAAAAATTCAGAAAAAAAGGATTTTCACCATGAATTACCAGAACTGGCTACTAGAGGGAGCAAGAGACCATGCTATGTCTTCTTCAACAACAAGAAAGATCTCTGGTTCCCTCTACTGCAGCAGTCCCCAAACTTTTTAGCCCGGAGGACCGCCTGGGGAAGGCAGAACACCCCCCTGTGTGCGCATGGGCAAAGGAGCGCTCTCTGTTCACATGCGCAAAGGAGCAAGGGTGCACGCACGCTCATGCACATACACAAAGGGTGGCGCAGCACTCATGTGGGTGAGCTTGTGCTCATGCGCAGATGCAAATGGGCTGTGCGGGGGGAATGTGTGGCGGGTGGGGGAAGGTCTGTCTCCTTGGCCCAGTCC